ATATACATAGACACGTTGCGGACAAATTACATTCACACACCTTTCTAACAAAACATAAAGTGGTGAGAAAGATACAACGTGTGATGAGAGGTGAGTATTTAGGGTGTTCTTCTATTTACTCAAGTTTGTGAATAATTTGAGTACAAATCTTGTGATTTTTGTCTAGTGATTTTTTTTATTTTATTTTATTTTATTTATATTTTAAAGGTTATTTTTGTTAGCCAAAATATTTGGGACCAATAGGTGGTATCATAGCTTCAGTTGCGCAACACCTCTTACAAAATTTCTATTGTCTCTCTCTTTTGTAACATAAAAAAGAAAAGAAAAGAAAAGAAAAGGGGGAGGCTCACACAAATGTATGATCTTTTAAGCACAAGTTCAATATTAGCAAAATAGCTTGACAAATAGAAATATACGGAGGAAAAATTGGTAATTAAATTATGATTTCACTAAATTCATTGCATATTAGCAACCACACCCATTTTTTACTCAATATTTAAAAAATAAAACAAAGTTGAATGGGAAATACAAGACATTGCATTTGAGAGTACCGTATCAAAACTTTAGGAGTATCAAAATATTTCCCCTTAGTAAAATGGAAAAAGGGATGGAGTTTCTAATATTGAAAGTGATAGATTCGATTTTAATCATTTTCTTGGGAAAATTAGATTTTAGTGACCAAATCTAAATACAATTGATGTAAAGGGACCGTAAAGTAGAAAAAGATGAATAGTCACTAAATTAAAAACTTAAATGCCAATAAGTGACAATTTGATGGTTTATTACCTAAATGCCCATCTTATAATAAATTATTTTATAAGTGGACAAATTTACCGTGTACATTCAACTCAATTAAACAGTTTCAAGTTGAAAAAAGTAAAGTAAAAAAATAAAAAAATACCTTTAAGTTGTCTAATAAGGAACACCACAATCTACCACTTGAGTTTGTAATGTTTATTTATTTTTGAGTTCTAACTATATATATATATATATGCTTTTTCTGTAAAAAATTTTGGTGAAAACTCTTATACTTGAGTCTAATCTTGTGGCCAAGAAAATTGTAGGAAAAAAACAAAGTTTCTGATTTTTTTTTTTTTAGGGTTAATTCCACCTACATCCCCTGACGTTTGACCATATCCCACTTACACCCCCTCTAGGTTTCAATATTCCACCTACCTCGCTCTACTATGATGGCCGTTTACTTTACTAACGGAATTGTGTAATTTTACAATTTTGCCCATCAATTATATATTACTAATATTTATGAAAATTTAGAATTGAATCGAAAAAACAAAAACACCCTTCTTGTCTAACACCAAGCCTAGTACATAAACAACCATCTTACCATCAAAACCTCCATTGCCACCATCCACAATCACCCTTTGCAAACAACACACTAGCAGACCCAAGATCCAATTGCGAAAAACAAACACACATACACACATAACACAACCCCATCCCATCTATAGTAGTCCCCGGTTTGTGCAGTCAAAAATAGAAGCAACTTGGAAGCAAAAGGTTTATATAGCATATATTATATATATATCTATATATATATATATATATATATATATATCAGTATTAGTATGCTTTCCACAATTCCCTTTTAGACAAGCATGAAGAGAAAATAGAATCATCCAAAATTTATATTCCAAATGGTCCAGTGGAGAAGCAAGAGTTTAGTGTTCTACCATTTATATTCAAAGCACTTCGTACCTTTTCCCTGTAGAAATTTAGAAACTTGGAATTATATACCATTGAAACATAGTAGACACCAAACGAAATCTCCCTAAAACGACTGGAAGTACCAAAAAGCTTATTCTTGAAGTAAAAAAAAAAAAATGAAATGGAAAAACAATATATAAGACTCATATCAATGGGACTCATAAGGGAATACAATTTGCTCAGAAAACAAATACCTTTAAAGACCACATAACTCATATCTATCACCTGACTATTTGCCACCTCATCTAGAAAAGGGATCCACCCAACCCATTAAATCCCCAAAAGGAAACCTTGACTTTATCACTAATAAAATCAAATTGGTGGAAACGGGTCTGGATTTCCACGATAAGTAAGGATCGGCGTTGCGAAGGTGAGGTGTCGTTTCGATCTGGTGGTTGTTGGCGATGATGAAAGAGGTGTCGGAATGTGGAAAGATTGCCGAACCAATTCTCGGACGAGTCAGCCATGGCCATATCACCGCCAGAATTTCTTCAAAAGGTGGGTGAGGCCTTGAAAACGACTTGTCTCAGGCGACCTCGGTTCTTTATTTGGTGGACTCTTTTCAAATTTCATGTTATTTATGTTGTAGGGTCATATTGGGTTCATGGGCTTAAGCTCATCACGGAGACAACAACTAGTCTACAGATAGTGGTGGTGGGGTAATATTTTTTTGGGTAGGGTAGTTTTGTAATTCCTTATTAGTCAATGAGGTTAAAGATGTCATTTCAAGTATTGAAAGGGTAAAATTGACCTTCTATCGAATTTTTTCTGCTAACATCAGCACTTACAGTCAGGTTGTTAACGGTAGGGGGCAACTTGCTACCTAAATCAAAAGGTTAGGGGGTGTAGGTAGAATTTTGAAAACTAGAGGGGGTGTAAGTGGGATATGGTCAAAGGTAAGGAGATGTAGGTGAAATTAACCCAAAAAAGAAATACTCAAAACTTTCTTTCAGATATTGTTCTACTATGTTCATAATGTGTGAATTTGGCTTTCAACATTTTTTAAAGGAGGTAAACTTTTAAAACATTATTTAAGTTTGGTAACTAAAATATTAATTTTCTCTTCCTTTTAATATTGTGAGTTACGGGAGGTGTGGAGTGTGTGGACATACTACATGTCACCCATTGTTCTTAAAAGTTCAGCATATTTAATCTACATACCTTTGCTTTATATCTCAAACCCAAAACAGGCATATCATTTGTGTGATCCACAATGAAAACTAGAATCATTCATAGGATGTCTAGTTTTGTTTTATAACAACAATTCTCATTAACATCTATAAGAAAACAAGTTATAAAACTTATTTTCAATTACATTGGAAAACTTTTTTAAGGGGTCCAATGGTTGAAGTTTGTCTAAAACGTCAACAACTATATATCAACAAAGAAAGAGAGAACTTGTGTGGTTCCATTATTTGATATCAATTTTCAAGAATTTAAAAAATTTGAAAACAATTCTTAAAGGACTACAAAAACAATTATTTAATTTTTTTAAAAAAAATTGTGAACCAAATATTTTTTTGGGTAAAGTACATTAACACTCCTTGAGGTTTGCTAAAAGGACAGACAAATGAAACTTAGCCTATTTTGGGACAAAGACACCTCCTCAAGTTTGATACACTTACCAAAGACACCCCAATGGTAATGAATTAACATTTTTGCCCTTTAACTTTTAAATTGACTAATTTAAATGTTGAAATGACCTTTAAAACCTTACTAATCTATTCCTTTCCTTCTCTCTTCTCTCTCGGTTCTCTCCTCCTGCAACACCAACACACATATAGACACACACACACATATATATAGACACACATATAGACACATACACACATATATATATCCACACATATACACATATATATCCACACACATATATATGTGTGTGTGTGTATACAGATACAAACATATATATATCCACACACACAAGGCGGCGACGGGCGGCGGCGAGTTGTCGTCAAGGAGAATAACACTGGTGAATTAGATGATGATGATGTCGTCGGTGGCAGAGGTGTCGACGGTGGTTGCAACAAAGGCGCCGACGGTGGTTTTCAGATCTGCAAATCGCATGGACTTCAGGAGCCTACAATCGTCTTCTTCCTTCAATACCCATTGCAGCCGCCGCCGCCACAACACCCACCACCACCACCACTACCGCCACACAATCGGCTTCGCTCCCACACCCCTATATACTAGCATCATCACCGGACCACCACCACCGACCACCACTCGTTTCAACACCATCCCACCTGAAAATTAACACCCAAAAGCCATACCCAATTTTCTTTTTCTGTGTTTATATATATATATACCACTCGTTTCATATATATACACTGAAGAAATTTGTTGTGTTGTTCTTTCTTGGTCTATTTTCTTTCTTTGTGGCTGTGTATAGAGAGAGAGTGTGCCTATTCTTTGTGGCTGTGTATAGAGAGAGAAAGACACTGTATTTTAGAGAGAGAAAAACGCTGTATTTTAGAGAAAGGGGGCAAGGGTAATTTAGTCATTTAATTATTTTGATATTTTATAATTATAATTAATTAAATAGTGAAGGGTAAAATTGACTTTTCACGGGATTTTAAGCTCTGTTTGGATTGTAAATTTGATAAGAGGGTGTCTTTCTCCCAAAATAGCCTAAGTTTCATCTGGGTGTTCTTTTATCAAACCTCAGGGGGTGTTAGTGTACTTTACCCTATTTTTTTTCAAAAAAAATATCTAAAATGTTATTATTTGAAAATTTGCAAACACATTTTTAATTTTATTTTTCAGTTCTCGTGTTAAATAAAATTATAAAAAAAATGATCCAAGAAGGCAAAAATACATCCCGCGAAAAATTTAGGAATACATGGTGTTATTTGATAAAATTGAAAATGAAGTGTTGAATTTTAAGTAATGAAGTTTTAGAATTATAAATTGAGAATTTTTATTTTATTTTATTTTATATTCTATTAAATTTTAAGTGTTTATTTTTTGGTGATTGAAGTTATTGTCACTTATGTGATATTTAAAATGAGTTATCCAAAATATACACGTTAGAACTTAAAAAATAAAAAATTAATAATTCAAATCTTGAACTAATTTTTTTTTTTTTTTTTTTTTACAATAATAATTTCAAGACACAATTGAATGATATAATGAATTCATAATTAAGTACTTTAACACGCAACATATATATATATATATCAATCACAATTAAGTAAAACGTAATGTAATTTAACGACGAAGCGAGGGCATGTTCGTCCAGAACTCATCGCTCTTCTTTATATACTGTCTAGTAGTCATCTACAACTTCAAGCAGCATATATTCCCACCTTATTCGTAACCCTAGCACAAACCCTAGACGGCCATCTCTCTCTCTCTAACGAGAAAAAGATGTCGCACTTTGGAAGATCTGGTCCTCCAGACATCAAAGACACCTACTCTCTCCTCGTCCTCAACATCACTTTCCGTAATTTCTCCAATCTTTCTCACCAATTATCTATCCTCTTCCTTTCACATTCTATCTCTCTCTCTTCTTTTTTCACTGATTTATCATTTTTTTCTTCAATTTTTGTTTTCAAATTTATTAATTTTTGTTTTTCAATAGGAACTACTGCCGATGATCTGTTCCCCCTTTTCGATAAGTATGGGAAGGTCGTTGATGTCTTCATCCCCAGGGACAGAAGGTTTTCTCAGAGTCTCCATATTATCATACACAAATATATGTATATGTAATGTCAGTTGTGTGTATAGGGTTTATTATTTGGTTGGATGAGTTGAAATTGATTTATATATGATGATTCTAGGACTGGTGATTCGCGAGGGTTTGCTTTTGTTCGGTATAAGTATGGGGACGAGGCCCAGAAAGCTGTTGAGAAGCTAGATGGTAAGTTCTGAACTTCTTGTGTTATGTTTTGGAACTCCTTTCTAAATTCTCGGGAAGTTGTGTTGCTTATAATGTATTTGGGTTGCTATTTTAGGGCGAATTGTTGATGGCAGAGAGATAATGGTTCAGTTTGCGAAGTACGGACCTAATGCTGAACGAATGTGAGTCACTTGGTGCGGTTTATGTTAGCTTTCCTTATCTAATATACATAGACTTTTCTTATATTCAAGTCATGTGTCTAGTTTTATGCAAAATTGTTTGTTCAGTAATGTTACCAAGCATGCCTTGATTTGGGTGTTTTTATTAACTTTTGAAAAGTTTGCTATTTTTCCTGAATTCTTCCACCTCTAAATACCATGTTCTTGTATGTTTCTAATATATACACACATGTACATTTGGAGCTTTATAGTGTTGTATTTCCACTACATATATTTTGAGAAGTGTATCTCTGAGTTGGAGATGTGTCATCAAGTTAGTTGGTTTTGATTTTCATTTTCAGTCACAAAGGGAGGGTAATGGAACCAGTATCAAGGTCAAAAGGCGGAAGGTCAAGAAGCCGTAGTCCTCGGCCGAGGTGAGGATCCTTCCAAAAGTAACTTCTGGTTAAGTTTACAATCAATATACTCTAATACTAGTTTCTAGATTGATACAGAAGACTGTCACTCGAGGCTCTCTGATATGTTAGAGTGCCCACGGCCAATTATACCTAGAGAGAGTAAAAAGGTCTTATGGATTTTAATTTTTAACTTACTTTTTGAATTAGTGTCGATCCTTGTTTAGATTTCAGTTAATTAATTGATTATGTTTCTCAATTGCAATCTTAGAAACATATAATGCAATAAATAAAACAAAGCAGAGACATAATATATTTTACATAGAAAATCCTAAATAAAAAAAAGCCATGAAACCTAATCCAGGAAGTTCGAGATCCGCTATATGAAAAAGAGGTCACAGATTAAGTTACCAGACTTTAACCTAAGAATCACCTAGTCTCTCCCTCCTTAAAACTTATGCAAGATCTTCCCAGATCTTCCAGCTGCTGATCAATCGACAGACTTGTTCCTCGTGTACTCTGCAGTCTCTGCTCATCCGTGGACTTCTAATCTCCATTACCATAGACATTCGATCAACTTGTTTTTTGCGAACTACTTGATTGATGCTCCGATGAATAATTTAAATTCTGCTCCTGACTTTGATTCTCTTAATCACATATAGTACCATTTTGTATGATTTTTCAAAGCTTTCCCTCTCGAAAAATATAAATTCTTTCACTAGTTGAAAACTCTTGTGAGAGATACCCTACTGATTATAAGCCCATGTAGTATTGTAAGTAAAATCCTTATAGGATTCTGATTTGAGAGAGTTTCCATGCAAGTGTGTCTATATGGTTCAATTGATCAAGCTTTTTGATTGACAATCACTGCCATAGCCTCGATTGATCGAGGCATTCTGGATTTATAAACATTTTTCAGCAAAAATCTCGATCTATCGACTAATTCAATTGAGGTTTACAGTTTTATAAAAATTCCTGTTTTGAAAAATATGTTTATCAAAATCAATTGACCATTTGGTCGATGTGGCCATATTATTAACACTTCCTGTGACTCTTTAGGGGGCATTGTGGTTGCAGAAGAACTTTAAAATCATTTGGGAGACTTTCAAATTGTAGTTTTCATATATGCAAGTGTGATGTAAGATCTGGATAACTGTGCCCTTTAGCCACATGACTGACACTTGTATGGCTTGCTTTTTTATTCAATTTTCAATTTTTCTACCAGGGATAGAGAATCTGTATGGGCATGTCATTCATCTTTTAAGGTGTCAATTATAAAGAAACCATCTGTATATTGTTTTTGTTTTGTCATAGAAAATTAATATATATATTTGGAATATCTGCTTGTTTTATTATGAACTGAAAATGGTCTACAGGATGGTGTAAACTCAATTTTTTTCTGTTACATTTTTCAGATCTTATATGCTTTGTATTTTTTTTTTTAAATGTTTGTTTATTATTAATTAAAACAATTTTCAATAAAAGATTCAGGATTTCACTTTTTTATTATATTTGTTGCCTTTTGTTTTGACTATCAGGTCTAGGGGTGAACTAAGGGACAGGGATTCCAGGAGGAGAAGTCGCAGCAGAAGTAGGGATAGATATGACCGTGAGCGGCATAGGGGAAAGGAAAGAGATTATCGTCATCGTAGCAGGAGCCGTAGTGGAAGTCCTGTTTATCACAAAAACCGTGGAAGAGGCAGATATGATGATGAGAGGCGTAGCCGGAGTCGGTCTTATGGAAGGTATTCTCTCTCTCTCTCTCTCCAAATATTTTCAGCATTGAACTGTGTTCCTTTATTTTCTGTTATCAAATTCTGCATGTGCATATATTGTAGTGCCTCCCCTGCCCGGCGTAGCCCGAGTCCTCGGAGGAGCCCATCTCCACGCAGGACTCCTCCTTCTAGGGATGTAAGTCCTGTGGGACGCAATCACAAAGAACGCTCACCTACTCCAAAAAGTGTATCACCACGTGGTCGACCTGCTGATTCTCGAAGCCGATCTCCACGTAATTCTGATGCTGATGTGAGTCCTGAACCTACTTCTCATTATTGACTTTAGTTAAGAGTTTGTCGCTTAATTGTGTGTTTTTTTGTTTTTGTTTTTGTATCTCCCTTTTTTTGTTTCATTACAGGAGTAAGAGAGCACCAGACCATGGGATGCAGAATTGACCTAAATGTATCATGTTTGGCTGCATTCCTTCTTTTGGGGACATTTTCAGATTTGCCAGTATGATGAATGCTAGAATTGATTGCTGTAGGCGGATTTCTAAGGTTATAACATTTTATTTATGTACTTGATACATCCCTGCAGGTAGTTTTGACTGTAGTTTCTGTGTTCTTTACCATCAGTTAATACTATCAGTGGCTTAAGTGCGCATTGTGATGTTATTTTATCCTTGCTTTACTTGATACATCCCTACAGTTAGTTTTGAGGCATGCATGTTGATTAATATTACTTAGTCTTGATTAATATTAGTTTAGATAACTGAAGTTTTAATTTATGATGGACCATGTACTGGCCTTGTATAGTTGTGCCCGGGAAGAGTGGTTATGGCTGACTGGCGAGATGATGTAGCAGCTGTTGATGCTGTCTTTACTCTGCTGTCGGTTGATATCATTCTCTTGCTGGTTGCAAAGTACAGTGTCTTTACAAATTGACACTGATGATCATGATTGGTAAGGGTTAGAATACTCGGATATATTGAGGTCACTTGGGATTATGACTTCTGACTTGATCATCTTTCCTGTGATTTTTGCTAACTCTAGATTTTGCCATTTTGGGCCTAGAAAGGAATATTATTTGCTATGATGATCTCAAAGGTAGCTGATGCAGTTATCTGCTGGACCAGATGTTCAGCTATGTATATTCTAATATGAAACCTGCTATGCTGTACATCGTTACAATGAGGTTGGATGTGGCGACGAATACATAGCCACTTGTTTATTCCAGTTTTCGGTTAGACTTTACCTCATCTATTGCCTGGCTTTTAGGTTAACTATTGTGGCATGTGCTGAAACAATTTCGTACATGCACTTGCCAATATGGCTCTAAGCTGATACCAGTTCATTATCTTACAGCAAAAAAATCGTGGCTGTAGCTGTAAAATGATAGCTGATATCTTTGTAGATCGGTTGTTGCTGCACTTGTTGCTGATAACTATCGAATCTGATGCTACTGTTTTTGGTGTTGATGAGTGATGCTTGGTATGGTAGCTGTGTTGCAGCTGGCTCCAGTAGATGTGGTTTCTTTCTTTGCGTTCCAGTTGCAAATGCAGAGGTTGAGTTTTAGTTTTGGTTTGCATTTTCTTAGAATATATTTTTGCAGTTACACCCTATTTCCCATTAATTTATGTGAATTTCTTGCTGGTTGAATTATACTTCTATGATTTATTCTTATTAGTTGCATTGTGTTAGAATTTTGTTTGAAAATATAATTGTTCATAAAACCATTATACTGTGTTTCTTTTGTTAAATTATTACTTCAGTATCTGTGATGTGCGCTTGTTGAACGCTCTTTCGCATAGGAACTCCATTTAAGCCATAAAATAAAATAAATATATTAAAAAATGTTGTTATTAACTGCCCTTAGATTTTGGGATTTCATAAATCCTATGCTAAAACACATACCCACACATACCACGAGTTCATAGAAGCAGGTGGATGCTATATAGCTATCTTTGGAGCTGATTTCCTCGTCCATTCTTACGATTTATACGTGATAGTGTTTGGCAAGGTTTTTGGTTCATCTTTTATGTTGCAAAGTCAAATGGAAGTCCTTTTTGTATTAGGGCATTACATCTGCATTCCATTGCCAGCTTTTCTTACTGGTTCAGATTAAGTCTAATTTAAAAGTATGAATCGTATTCCTTTTGTTACTATTTTTGTAGTGGATGGTGAAAATGTTGGAACTTATGTCTTCAACTTGGTGATTTTAAAGGAAAAAGAAATTGTGACTGGTATGTTAGTGCTTGAAATGATTATGGCTTTGCTTTAAAGTCGCAATACGGGAATGCCTTGTTTGCACATGGCTTTAAGTTCCGATGTTGGAGTCAGTTCTATCACACTTTACTTTCAATATCTGGACATTGTTTTCTTTGGGTTTGCTTCCCTCCGAGTGCTTTCTTAATGAAATTTTACTTAAATATATTAAAAAAAATTATATAGGCATTGCTTTTAAGTCCTCTTGCAAATTCTAGGCTTGACCAGTGTTGTCGAAGGCGCGCATAGTGTCCAGGCTCGTTAAGGCGCAGTATTTGTTTCTGTTGCGTCCCCAAGTGTGCCTTTGACAATACTTGAACCATTAATAGGAAATATGAACCATTAATAGGAAATATTTTGGTAACACTGGGCTTGGCTGATACTTAAAAGCAGTCAAGACCAGCATGAAGCATTGAAGGCTAAATTTGTGGTCAGATCCTCTATCAGTGGAGCGCCTGGAATTTCATTCCATTAGTCTTTCTTTCTCTGAAGTATTAGTTGTTGGGCATGGCTGCTTTTTGTGGTTTTTTTTTTTTCCATTGCTTTTTGTGGTTTATGAGTTCTGAGATACACTACTGCACTACCTTTCCTGTTATGCTTCTTTTAGGCTGATTTGCAGTTTTTTACCTTTTTATTTATTGATAATTAGTGGTTTTGTTGTTGAGGGAGGGTAATAGGAGAGGTTTCATCATTATCACTTGCACAATTTCACCATGTGGTGGTTGTAGGGAATTTATATTATTAATATTGTTGCATGGATTGGACTTATAAAAAAAAAATATATATATTGTTGCATGGATTGGAGAAATTTTTGGGAAAAAATTGGATCAATTTCATAATTAGATTTAGATAAGATCTTAAAGTGTTTATATCCTAGCTTCATAAATGGAGGTTGAGTTGTATGTGGATCTACATTTCTGCAATCTGTTACTTACTTATTTTCTTGAGGTCTAACTTTTGAGCCATTCAGTGGTACATGGGCGATGGAAAATGATTGAAACAAGTCTCCGTGGGACTATCCTTTTAGAAATCGTTTGGAGTGGAAAATCATCATATATGATAGCTGAAGTTGAATGTTCTTGTTTATCAAGGCTAAGGATCCAACTTTATATTATATTTAACATAAGATATAAAATTTGAAATTTAGGTTTGTGTTCCAACTCAGTTTTGTAACAAACTTTTGAGGATAAGATTAGTCAATAATTAGTGAAGTTTTTGGTTGCATCATCAACCTTGTACTCCTAGCTTTTAAAAGAGGAGAGCGGTGCTAAATGTAGAGCAGTCTATAGGATATGGTAATGTTTTACCTGTTAGATTCTGCCTGTTTTGACTTCTATCTATATGTTATTATTCTTCAAGCTTAGACATGTTAGCAACTTGAAATGACAGGTGAAGGATTAGAATATTTTTAGAACATTAAGTTTCCTGCTTCTGTTCTGTTATGCAATTTAACGGACAGTTCAATTTCCATATGAGGCATTGGCTAGAGAAAGTGCACGTTGAAAAGAATGGTTGCCAGTCCACCGGCTAGCATAATGATGATTAGGGTTGTAGCAGGATCTTTCAAACTTTCCTTTGTTCAATAGGTCCTTCCCCAACTTCCGTCTTAGAGACAAAGTATACCCATCATCCTAGAGGAGCGTCACTAGATCCCTGTATACCGTCCTTTTCGAAACCACTCCCATAGGGATGTGGGTCTATTATTAACTTATAATTTAAACTATTACATTAGATTAAAACTATGGTAACTTTAAATATATTAGTTAAATTTAGTTTATTACATTAATTAATAAGATATAAATTTATTAAATTAATATAAGTTGAAGGGAAATACGGTCATTGCAACAAATACATTTATATATTTTGGGGTGTGGAGTATCAGATAACTATTGTGAGGTAGTACATATGAGTTCATTTGGTATTTGTTTGGGTTTTCATTAATAATGGTGAGTAGCAACCTGTGCCAGTACTATATGACCTTTGAAAACTAAGGATTAAAGGTTGAGTGATTTGTTGTATTTTATCATGATAGATATGAATCCAGTTATTAACTGTGTATTAATCGTGTACCAATGCATAGTGTGTGTGTTTTTTTTTCCTCCTCTATTTTTGTTTTAACTGTCCTTAATTAGTGATTGATGTGGTTGTTATTTGTTATATGATCACTTGTTTTAAAATTTTCATTAAAAATGTTTTCCATGGATCACAATTAGTTTTATTTTATTCGATAAACTAGTGATGGCAGTCATTTCCTTCAATTATTTTAATTTTGCATACATTTGGTCTCATTTTTTCTTTTTATTTTTCTTTTTTCATTGGCATTTGGAGTAATAATGATAGCACTCCTCTTCACGTTAGTGAAATCAGTGCAACATTACTTGTAATAAATTAATTGTACATTACTTGTGAAAAAAAATAAATTAATTGTACATTAAATTTCCTGTAGAAAGATTGAAAGCACGTGGCCCGGTAAACCTGTGTAGTAGATTGATCAAATAAAATTCCTAAAAACTAATGAAAGTAGTGTCAAGTTTTTTTTTTTTAATGGGTTTTGGCATAGCTCTATTATTAATATTGTTTTAAACTTCGTAAAAATATGTGATGTGCTACAAATGTGTTTGATGATATAGATTGATGATACGTGGACGTTTGAGCTTCATTAGAACCAAACTATAGGAATGTATATCTTAGGATGTGATTGGCGAATTATATATATATATCTATCTATCTATCTGGCCATGCAATGCGAAAATTCTAAACTTGCAATGAATCAATCCCATTCAAAATAAAGGAAGCCTTCAATTATTGAGCACCAAAATTGGAACACAAATAATGTAACGTAAACCAAAATTTGATCCCGGTATTGAAGCCGTGTTGTTCAGGCTCTGGTTTTAGGTGTTCGGTTCTCGTCTTTTTGTTTCTGCACTATGGGTTCGTCGTTGCGGTGGTTCTTTTGTTTGGGCCTTCTGTCTCCTTCCCGTCGGCCGTTGCAACTCCAGCCTTACCGGTCCTCCGATCTAGAGTTTCTCGATCCCTTTTAGGTTTGTTCTTGGCCCTGTTCTCCCTTTGGCGATTTCGTTTGGCCTTGAATTTCGGTTTCAAATCCCTTTGTGGGATAATTTTCCTTTGATGCCGTTTGTCGGTGTCTATTGTGTCTGGTGCTTCCCGATGATGGTGGTGTTTTCCGCCGAGTACGTCTTGCTGCCGTCGTGCCTTTGGCGTCTGGTTCACGCGCGGTGTGCTGTGATGGGTCCGGGTCCGGCTTCTGGGTCTTGTGGTTGGGTTGCTCTTCTTGCTGCCGGCTTGCTGACTTTTTGGCCGCTTTCTGGGCTTCCATTTCCGGCGAGTTCTATTGTGTTGGGTCCATCGTGGACGGCCACGTCCCGTCTTGGGTTTGCTATGTGTGGCGCTGCAATTAAGACACGTCGTTCCCACCACTTTCTGGCGCTTGTATTTGTTGTTGTGTGGCTGTTGGTACACCTTGGGTATTTGCCTCTCACCCGCCACGTCTTGTGTAATTTGGTGGGCCATGTGTCCCTAACCAATGCTCATGTTTTGTTGTGTTTTGTAGTCTTCTTGTTTTCGTGTCGGTGGTTGACCCCACCTTTGTACCTGGGTTGGGGCTTGTGCCTTGTGGTGTGGTTGTCTTTTGTGGATCTGTTTATTGTAAATGCCGTAGGAAGAATGTTTGGGGCACCAGAATTGAACTGAACATCTCTTTTAATATTAATAATTAATATTTAGGTAATGCAGGTTAATATATATATACGTTAGCAAATAAATTATTTTATTTTTTACATTTTATACCATGTATCACAAAATACGAATTTAGATAAAGTAAAAAAAAATAAAACACAACCAGGCTGTCAAGTGGACGTGACATAGTTCAAGTTTTCTTTTGCCATTGTTGGTCCAAGCTCTAATTTAGAGTTTCTCCTTTTAAATGTTAAAAAGTTACTCAGTACTGATTATGGTGTGTGTAGAAACTTGTGCAGTGATGAACAAGAATATATTAGTCATTTTAAATATAAGAGAGGTCATTTAAAATTTACCAAGGAAAGTACATTATATTACCGATCATGTTTATCGTTTTCTTCAACAACGTAGAACAATTCTAATCCTCAACTTACATCACAACGTTGTAATACAGTAATATACAGTACTCATTCCATTAAAAATCACACACACACACTTTATTTTAGTGTTATAAATGAGATTCTTACTTAGGCTCTTCATCAACAATGGCTAGAAGCTGCTAGAATGCCTTACAACTAAAAGTTAAATCTATTCTCTAGACCTCTTTTCTTACAAATTTATAATACAAAACTCTCTCTCTATATATGCGCACTCGTAAATATCACAGTGAACGCTTTCACTTGGAGGTTGATTTTTCAATTAAAAAAAGAGACTACAATCCTATGTAATATTTTTTACGAAAAAAAAAAAAAAAGAATTCTCTAATTGGATCTTCTTTGTTGGTATTCAAGGGTTATACGAGTTTGATCTTAAATCACCACGAAATTTTGATGAAGAACGGCACGATTTGATGTGCTTGTTGTTGATCACTGTGGAATGTTAACGAAGAACGATTTGATGTGTTTGTTGCTCTTCGCCTTTAGGTTTGGGTGTTGGGGATGAATGTCGGAAGAGTTTATGTATTTCTTTCGGAAATTCTAGATTTCTATATTTCTCAATTTCTGTACATATTCCTCCTTCCTCTATGACTCTATTGTTTTCTTGGATTAATAGGATGAGGACATGTGTCCTCCATAAGTATATGATTATAACTGGGCTGGACCGGTTATATTGTGATAATTATCTATAAAAATAATTATTCTAAATATATTTTATTAATAATAATTATCTTTTTATTTAATAACTTGGTTGGGCTAACTAAATAATTTAAGTTGACCAAGTTTTAGCAAATTAAATAATTTAATTAAACATGAGACCATATTTGTTGGGTTAATTTGTCAAAATAAAAGTTCATGAAATTTTAGTGTCTACAAATTGCTCCCACTTCAAGTCCTGCGTTTGACCGGATTTGTCTTTGTCCTCACTTCAACTCCCGTGTTTGACCGGACTTGTCTTGTATTTCAAGTGAAACTTAAAGTATCTAACTTGGTCTTTGAATTGTAAAGTTTCTGTTTTTGCTTTCCTATCCAACATTGAGTTGTAATTCTTCACTTTCCAATTTGAATTGAATTACACAAATCCTATTACAAATCGGAAGTATTTTATTACCTATATATATCACCCATGTCATAAGGTTTGACATCAATTATAGTATTATTGAAGACTTATTATGTTGAAGCTTTTGCCCGAGCAAATAATTGGTATGTCTTTTTCAATATTTTATTTTTTTAACTAATAATAATAATAATAATAATTCTGTTTCATTTTTTCTTCTTTCTTTTGCTGTATCGTGTGTTTCAAATTTTTTATTTATTTTTATTTATTTTATACCCATTGTTGACAAGTGATCACATGCATCACGCACGGCTAGAGAAATAATACCAAGACCTGCATGCCTCAAATGGCCATCATTGCAAAAGACTATTATATCTAAGTCAATTGCATAATCACTTTATTGCCCTGATGTTGAAGTCAATTGCATAATTGCTATGCCAATCTGTCCTTTCAAAAAAAAAAAATAATAAAATAAAAAAACAGAAGCAGCTTCTTTGGTCACATATTCGTGTAAGGGGCTTTTTTTATTTTTTATTTGCATTTTTATTTTTTTCACCTTTGAATTGACGCTTCTTCCTTTTTCTTTTTCTTTTTTTTTTTTTTTAGAATCCCGAAAATACTTTTCCAAAAGCACGGACGAGAATTTTGTCCTCCTAAACAGAGGTTGGAGTCCTCCTTTTAGACAACATCGATCTAATTCAAACTTTATTCTTTGTCCCATCATGGTGGTATTCAAGTGTTTCACAAAGCAAAATGTGACAATCCTAGAGAGCGAAAGTGAACGAAGAAGCCAATGAACCGTATTAAGTGTATATGGCTATCTTCTTAGTCATTATGCCATTCAAGTGCCTGACAACGAATATTCTCCGCCACATGCGAATTCACCAACTTTGGCCTTGATCAGATTAATGAAGAATTCATTGTCTCGGATGCCTTGATATTAAATTTTCCACTTCATGAGAGAGTAGTTGAAGAAAATCAATTTTCACTCTTGGGTCTCAATGTTCAGGCGAAGGAAGTATCATGAAGTATTCCCTCCAGGCTTTCTGTCGAACTATCGCACACCAAACTATATTGGGAATGGCTAGAAGATGTCTTGGCTCGCTACCACGACTTCCTGTCAAAACAACAACTATATGGCGCTATATTTGCCTCTCTGTTTTCATATAATTGTCATGGAGATATACTCAAAGCATTTCTCGAATGTTGGTGCCCCGCAACCAATACTCTTCATTGTTCTATTAGCGAGCTGTCAATTTCCCTTCGAGATTTACATATAATAAGCGGTCTCCCTCTTCAAGGAAGAATTTATGATGAAGTTATTCCGTGTGCAGAAGAACTCTCGAGAGCTGGCAACAACAAAAATTCTCTCCTATTGAGTTGTCAACATCTATTTTTAGCCTTCCACAAACTTTACAAGAAGTGCAAAAGAGAACAGAATGTGAAGCTATTTGACTGGATTAATTTCTACTTCAAAGGTGCAACAAGGCATACCAAACCCTCAAAGAGAGCAACAAGAAGCAAAGTTCAATGTCCAAGGGAGACTTAAAACCCTTATGGTATAATCCTTTTTGTCCGGCCGATGTCCACCGAAGAAAAGGAAGTATTCATTAACCTTAGTGTAGATGAAGCATTGAGAGACGCCACTTATCTAGCCGCCTTTTTAGCATGATGGCTTTGTAAATTTGCCTTGCTTGCACACCCTGGCAACATGATTAGTCCTGGGACTTTCAAGGTTGCAAGCATGTTGGCAAATGGCTGCAACATCTGTCTTTCCATCCCAGTTTTGGCTAGTGTTTACAAAGGCTTGAACGAGATTGTTTCCTCACCAGATCCTAGAAACTGTTCTACGATATTTCCTATACACTACGTAATCGAATGGTTGAGTGAATATTTCAGAAATAACTTCCTTGCCCCCCATACCAAATACTGGTCTCGAATGACATCATATGCAGGAGAAGGGGGAGCAAGACACTTTGATGAATTTGAAGCACAAAATTTATTCAGATCATGTCAAGGAGTAATTTTAACTCGTCTGTCCAGAAGATCTTCAAAACAACGACTCATTGTAAATGATAACAAGATGACAATGATCGACTCTGACTACTTAACCAATCTTCGATCATGTTATTTGGCATTGCGCTAAGATGACCGTCTCATCATTGAGTTGTACAGTCCACACAGATTTAGTCGACAATTTAGATACCACCAAGATATTCCTAGGAAATTGAAGAACGATCCTCGCAATTGCACCTCAGAAGAAGTCTTAAAGTGTTGGAAATCATTTGTCCGTTACTCTTCCTGTTGTGGCGCGTTGCTCCCCTCACAATCCAGCCACCAGAAGTTATCAATTACCAAAGCATATGCAAAATGGTGGTCCAGTGTATATGTTGATCCATTCAAAAAATAAAAGACCAACCTCAATGTCGACCAAGCGTACGACTTCTCTAAAGGAACCACCAACCAAAGTCAGAAAAGTCATCATTAATGCACCAAAGTCGAATTCTCTTTGCAGATAGAAAGCCACTGAAATTCATAACATCAACAACATCAATGCAGACATGCCAACGGAACAATTTCTGTCACTGGCACAATCTTAGCACCACTCAATTTGTTAATCAATTCAGGCGATGATAAAGATAAAGAAACTGACAATGAAGACCGTAACTGAAAACAAGTAGGAGAAAATACCATCCCATATGATCATGTCGTTATTCCCCATAATTCAGACTACTTGTTTGACTAAATTAATAGCAGTTTGGAACCCATCCAAGTAAGGCTTTTTTCTTTTTCTTTTTTTTTAGTCAAAAGGCAATGAAGGCTTTCTTGGAGAAGATGTCGTTATGGTTACTAATCCTATATGCAGTGGAGAATCTATTTATGGACCATATGCATTTGATTTGGTAATTAGAAGAAACCGTGTAATTACTCAAAATGAGAACAACTCTTTCTTACAAGAGGTGGAGTCCCATGAAAGGCGGTTATAACCCTAAGCTTCTTCGATCGAGAAAAAAGTTGAAAGCCAACAAAAGATTATGAATGTTGAAGAAATTCCTAACTATCATTGCATTATCGACTAAAAGACATCACCTTGGAGATGGTCAGACATTTCACCAAATTACACCTTCCGCAGCTACCTTTGACTCGAGGAGTGCTCTTTCCGAGATTAAGCACACGGCGGCCAAAGCATTTGGGAATATCATCAAGAGTAAAGTAATGTGTACCCCACTTTCAAAGATTCCATCTCTTAAGCCAAATTTTGATAAGATCTTTCTCGAAATCTCTAAACAATGTGTGGATTTTTCGGAGTTCCGCCAGAGAATTAATGCATACCTTTAGAATGGTAAAGAATATATATATCAAAGTTCGAATCATGCTATGTTGATGATTTGGTGGTTAAGACGAAAAAGCGAAGAAATCAATTATAGGATCTACGTACAGTTTTTAATCGCTTTAGAAAATATCAACTCAAGATGAATCCCCTTAAATGTGTGCATTTGGTGTCACTTTAGGGAAATTCCTTGGGTACGTCATACGTCATCGTGGTATTGAGATTGATCCTTATAAAGTCGAGGCCATTCAGAAGATGCCGCCACCATAGAATTTACGCGAGCTTCGAAGTTTACAAGGTCAACTTGTGTTCATTCGTCGGTTCATCTCAAATTTAGCAAGCTGGTGTCAACCTTTTAATCGACTCATGAAGAAAGATACTCCATTTAATTGGAATTAATCTTGCCAAAATGCTTTTGATAGCATCAGGAAGTACATTCTTAATCCATCGGTATTAGGAGCACCTGTACCTGGAAAACCATTTATACTTTACATTGCTGCATAAGAAGAATTGCTGGGTGCCCTCATTGCTCAGAATAATGAAGAACATAAAGAGAAGACCTTGTATTATTAATTCGCATACTTATCTCGACTGAAGTCGCAAAATTATCCTCCAATTGAAAAGACATGCCTCACGTTTGTCTTCACCTATAATAAATTGAGGCATTTTTTTTTGGCTCAATGTTAAATAACATGATCAAAGATTAGTGAGGTAGTCAGAGTTGATCATTGTCATCTTGTTATCATCTACAATGAGTCGCTGTTCTGAAGATCTTCTGGACAGACGAGTTCAAATTACTCCTTCACATGATCTGAATAAATTTTGTGCTTCAAATTCATCAAAGTGTCTTGTTCCTCATTCTCCTGCATATGACATCATTCGAGGTCAGTATTTGGTATGGAGAGTAAGGAAGTTAGATCTGAAATATTCACTCAGCCATCTGAATACGTGGTATATAGGAAATATCGTAGAGCAGTTTCTAGGATTTGGTGAAGAAATAATCTGGTTTAAGCCTCTGTAAATGCTAGCCAAAACTGTGATGGAAAGACAGATGTTGCAGCCATTTGCTAACATTCTTGCAACCTTGAAAGTCCCAGGACAAATCATGTTGCCAGGGTCTGCAGGCAAGGCAAATTTGCAAAGCCAACATGCTAGAAAGGCGGCTAGATAAGTGGTCTCTCAATGCTTCATCTACACTAAGGTTAATGAATACTTCTTTTTCTTCGGTGGACATAAGTTAGACAGGAGGGATTATACCAGAAGGGTTTTAAGTTTTCCTTGAACGTTGAACTTTATTTCTTGTTGCTCTCTTTGAGGGTCTGGCATGCCTTGTTGCACCTTTGAACCAAAAATTAATCCAATCAGATAGTTTCACATTCTATTCTCCTTTGCACTTCTTGCAGAGTTTGTGGAAGGCCAAAAATAGATGTTGACAACTCAATGGGAGAGAATTTTTGCTGTTGCCAACTCTTGAGAGTTTTTCTGCACAAGGAATAACTTCATCTTAAATTCTTCCTTGAAGGGGGAGACCGCTTATTATATATAAATCTCGAAGGGAAATTGACAGCTCGCTAATAGAATAATGAAGAATATTGGTTGCGGGACACCAACATTCTAGGAATGCTTTGAGTATATCTCCATGGCGATTATATGAAAACAGGGAGGCAAATAGAACGCAATATAGTTGTTGTTTTGACAGAAAATCGTGGTAGCGAGCCAAGACATCTTCTAGCTACTCCCAATATAGTTCGATGTGTGGCAGTTCAACATAAAGGCTAGAGGGAATACTCTATGATACTTCCTTCGCCTGAACATTGAGACTCAAGAGTGAAAACTGATTTTCTTCAACTACTCTTTCATGATGTGTAGAATTTAATATCAAGGCATCCGAGAATATGGATTCTTCATTAATCTGATCAAGGCCGAAGTTTGTGAGTTTGGATGTGGCTTTGCGTGTCCAATGTGGTGGAGAATATTCGTTGTCAGGATCAGGCACTTGAATGGCATAACGACCAAGAAGAGAGTCAGATAAACTTAATATGGTTCATTGGCTTCTTCGATCACTCTCACTCTCTAGGATTGTCACATTTTACTTTGTGAAACACTTGAATACCACCATAATGAGACAACGAATAAAGCTTGAATTAATTCCACGGTGATCAACAATAAGCACATCAAATCGTGTCGTTCTTCATCGAAATTCCACGGTGATTCAAAATCAAACTCGTGTAGCCCTTGAATACCAACAAAGGAGATCGAATCAAAGGATTTTATTCTTTTGTAAAGAATATCACAGCGGATTGTACTCTTTTTTATTTATTGAAAACTAATAAAATTCCATTTGTTCCTTATTTCATTCTTTATTTGCACACTACGAAATTTGTGTATATGTAAGTTGTTGTTGAGTTTCTAATCACTTCTCATTCAATGCTTCCAGTTCTTGAAAACGTAAGATGATATTTTCTTCACTCGTAAGACCTTTTTGTATGATAGTGTGATGTTTCCAATTTTCGGCATTTTTCATTTTTTCTAGAATTCTGTTGATGCCAGGGTATTTTCGTCATTTTATGTTTTGCGTGCCGGACGCCGTGGGGTGTGCCGGGTGTGTCAATGAGTTGTTGGGGCATCTCATTGAGTTCGGCACTCTTTGAAATGCAAGGTTGTCATTTTTCCATATTTTTCCATTTTTTGGATCGGACGATCCCGTGTGGGACCCGCTATCGGTATTGTTGTGCACTGGGATTTTAGTTGGGTTCATTTACATTTTATGCATTTTATTTTATGTGACTTATGTGACATTTGTATGGTGGAGCATTATATGTAATTGTGTGGTGTAGAATTAAAGACAAAAGATAAAGGGAAAATAAAATAAAATAGGTGGGACCCACCATTATCTCACAAAAGAGTTAGAGACCACATTTTGGTCTCATTTCCTTAATTCTCTCTCTCATTCCCGTAGCTCTCTCTTCCTCCCTCTTCTTTTTCATTTTTCTTTTTCTTTTTGTATCAAACTTTGATCTTAGATTTCTCCCACAATATTTGGAGTTTTTAGAAGCCGTTTGCACCAAATCGAAGCCCACAACGAGGCCTTCAAATCCCTACAAGCAATTTCAGTTTTGGTGCTCCCTAAGATTTTCAAAAATCTAGACCCATTTTGAGGGTTTTGCATCAATTTGAGGTAGGGGTTCCTAAACCATCATTTTTCTTGTTTTTGAATTAATTGTTTTGAAGATGATGTAAATGTTACATGTGAAGTTTATGATTATATGTGCTATTTGGATTGTACAAAAAACATGCTTATGTGTTAATCTTTTTATCTAATTGTTGATCTTACATGCCTATTATGTTATAAAACTTGCTAAAGATGGTATGTGATGGCATGTGAACTCTTCCTAAAATACTTGTAGAGAATGTTCAATTGTGTGGTATAAAATTCCTTATTTCTATGGCATTATGAACATGAGACATACATGCATACTATGGGGCATGAAGATAGGAAAAGTGTTTTGGAATGAAAAAGGGGAATTTTGGGGAAGAGGTTTCGATTAAAGTGTTTTATGAAAACCCGGTCACCGCGGAGTCATCAAAGGGCTAGTAGGTTAATGTAACTTAGAGGGAACTAGCGAGATTGCCCTAGCGTGGTTGAGCTATTTGGGCCTCAAATAACGCTGCAGAGGTACCAACGGTTAGGGACAATAGCCAATCCTTCTTTCGGCGCTGAGAGGGTACCAAAGGGGGTTACATTAACGGTTTGAAAAGTGATGGTTTTGAATGTTGAAAATGGGGAGCGACATCGGCATACATTGCATTACATTACATTGCACCGTATTATTTATGTTGAGATTGGATATGATGTTGTATTTTCCCAACATGGTATGATCCCGCTTCCCATTGTCCTATTCATTGTTTGGATTCACGGGACTACAAGAGGTGTGTCTTAGGCATCACATACTGAGCAATTCGCTCACCATTTTTTATATTAACATTTTTCAGGACACGGCAAGGAGTTGGCGGATGATAATCCACCACAGGCTTGAGAGGACTTAAAGGACATTTTGAAAGTATTTGAGAAGCTTGAGTTTATTTTGTGTAGTGGCGTGATAAAGATTGTACTAAGTTTATTTGGCATGAATAGTATGTTATAACTTGAAGCTTGAATTCATTTTGTTGTAAATTAAGACAATGGCAAAGACTATGTATAAACTCCATGTAATTGAATTTTATGACATTGTAATCGTGATCAAGTGTTGGTACTCATGTCCATGATTGTTAAATTACCCATTTTTAAATGTTTGGGATACGTTTAACCTATTTCAAAGTCCCCATTTTAGTTTCTCCTTCATCTCCAAAGTGCAGCACTTCAGTATCAGGATCAGGGCTCGAAGAAGCCATTTCGGTCGACCGAAATGGCGCATCGGTCGACCGAACCAATTGCATGCTCTCGGGATCTTGGGTTTCGGCCGACCGAAACAGCACTTCGGTCGATCGAAGTAGGGGAGCTCATTTCGGCCGACCGAAGCTCCACTTCGGTTGACTGAAATGAAGGTTATTATTATTTTTTATTTTTATTTTTATTTTTTATTTTTTATTTCTTTTCTGGCATTTATCACGCTAAATGTTGAAATGTGTTTTGAGACTTCCTACAGGTATAGTTCAAGTGCAATGATAATGCTTTGACTCTAGAAATGTCGAGTTTGACGTAGGTGACCTCGGGTTCGAGTAAGGACCCGCTAACAGTTCGGGCTTCCGGGTTCGGGGCGTTGCAGATAATCCTTAAAGAAGGGATCTGTTGAAGTACACCGGCTTATCAATTATCACAGTGCCATTTCATATTTTACCGCTTTCATAATAAAATTTCTTATTCTTAATATAACCTAAATAATAAGGAATATACCAAAATAATAGAGTAATAATAGTAATATGAAATGACAACTAAATAAATAAATAAATAAAAGAAAACATCAAGTTGTAGGCTGAATAAATGAGACTATTGAATGCCTATTATTGATCTTTTTTCTCTTTTGAATTGATAAAATAAATATTATTTATATGTATGTGAATACAACATTAATATGTTTTAAGTTGTAACAAGAGTCTTTTCTCTCTCATGAATTCAAAAAAGTAAGGCCCAATCATATCTCATTTATCTTCCAAAGTAGTGTGAGTGTGGTGTGTGTATGTTTCTTGCCAATGACAAAAAAAAAAAAAAAAAGATGGAAGGAAAAAAAAAACAGTAATATTTATGTTTGTGAATGTAACATAGTTATATATGTTGTAATGAGGGTGAAATTACATATTATTTTACTAGATTTTAAAAAATTTAAAGTAATAATTAAAATGTGTTAATTTTCTCAAATTCGTCAATTCATGCCATTAAACACCCCTCCAACAACCTTGAGCTTTGAAGAGTTGGAATTGTCTATTCATTGCTTGTTTTATCACAGTAATTTTATTATTATTATTATTATTTTTGGGAAAGGTAAATAAAGTTTATTGGATAAAAAATATATTACAATCAAACTCATAAAGAGCAACACATGGCAAAGTTCTAAACACACCTAAGCATGACATGACTAAGGTTATTGTTACAAGTAGGGCTGATCACAGATCGAATCGGTTCAGTTTTGGGTAAAATTCAAACCAATTCGGTCCTCACGGATTGGCTAAATCTGAAACCAAACCGATCCATGGGGACTCTTAATTCGAACCAAACTGATCCGTGAAATAACGAATTAGTTCGGTTCGGTTCCCACAGATTGGGTTTAACAGAACACAACAAAAAAACTGAAATTAGAGGCAAAATACTATTTTCGTTTGAGTCATGCATGAATTTAAAGGGAAAAAGAGAATCTGTTATTGTTAACTCTGTTTCGAAATACTGATTTTCGTCTGAGTCATGCATGAATTTCTAAAGACTATACATATTAATAAATGGGCTATGAAAATGACAAAGTAGAACTGAAATTAAGTGACGAGATGGAGTAATCAAGATTTTTTTTCCAGAATAGAAGAACAAAAATTCATAGAAGAAAATAATGAAAAACTTATGAACTCACTGGAAATTAGATGTAGATGAAGAGGAAATGATCGGTCGATATAAATTGGAGATGCTTACTTGTCTGGGTTCCCTAAGAGACTGTGAGCAAAACAGTGGATTTGTAGGATCAGATGAGACTTGATGGGAGGCCAGAGACACATGCAAATGAAAGGAATATAAAAACTAAAAAATGTAAACAGTAAAGCATCGTAGGTTCGTAAAACAATAAAACAAACTTAATGATTAAAGAAAACAAAACTATCAATAATATATTATGTATATAATTTTTTAATATATGTTATATAATATATGTATATTAGTTCTACGGATTGGCCACAGATCAGTTCCGTTTTTTCCGCACCTAATCCATTAACCAATCTGGTTATTACGGATTATTAATTTTTCAATTCATCATCGAGCCACGACACTAGAAAACCAAACCGAACCATACAAATCGAATCAGATTGGTTCGATTTAGCTGATTGACGGATTATTTGAACACATCTAGTTACAAGGGTGTATTTGTCCCACATCAGATATAGATGGGTGAGTATGCAAGACTACCCAACAACTTAAACTTTTGGGTAAATGGACAAGTACCCACCCGTTACAGTTGGTACCAGAACTAGACTCAATCCTTAATTTGGTGCTATGCCAAGCGTCTGGCCCATAAGGCGCCCGGGTGAGTCACCTCGGGTAGGCAGGGTGGTCCGACCGCAACGAGAGCGTTGCGAGTTCAGGTGGAGAAGAATGTTACAAGGGGATATTTGTCCCATATTGGATCCAGATAGGAGAGTGATTGTGTATAAATGGGTTGGTATGCAGTACTATCTAACAAGTTAAACTTTTGGATAAATGGGCGAACGCCTACACGTTACAGCTATCCATAAGCAAAATGAATGATTGGAATTCGTTTTAAGGGAAGGGGACGTCGTATTAAAGAGGACAAATTACATACTTTTTAAAGCTAATAGTACTGCAAGATAATAAATGAAAACATAGAAATATAATGACGATGGAATAATAACAAATAATAATTTAAAAAATAATTATTAAAAAAAATGTGCAGAGAAAAAAAAAAAAAAAAGAAAAAAAAAACACTCTTTGGTGTGAGAAAGTGTGCAACAATTCTTCTATTTGAAGAGTGAAATATTTAAAATGCTCTTAAAATAAAATAATAAAAAAAATATTAATTATAAAAATTTGGGATTTTTATAACCTTTTTTTTTTTTTTTTGGAATTTTTATATAAATTTTGAGGTTTTGGGGTTCTTAACAAAATTTGAAAATTTTAAGATTTTTATATAGAATTGAAGATTTAAATACTAAAAATGTTCTTAAGTGTATTTTGAGGTTTTATATAAAAATTTGGTCAAAATGAATAATTTACTAATGGTACAAAATTTCAAATTACATAAATTTACATGCACTTTATAAAACGTAGGTGTTTAATTTTTATTTATTTATTTGTTTAATTAGCAATGCAAAAGTTTGTTTGCCATTGTTGGCCATTGAAGAGGTTACCCATCTTTGAACCAGATCTAGAAAACGATCAATGTCCACGTAAGGGAATGGAAACATGAGAATTTCTGTCCCAATCTGCTTTGGATTTGAGCTTCATACACATATATGTATATGTATATGTATGCAATATCAGTTGTATGTATAGGGTTCATTATTTGGTCTGATGGGTTGTGAATGATGATTCTAGTTCTGGTGATTCGCTAGGGCTGTTGAGAAGCTCGATGGTGTAAGTTCTGAACTTCTTGTGTTATGTCCCCCTACTCATTTTTTGGTGTGTAATCAGAACTATTTGGGTTGTTATTTTAGGGCGAATTGTTGATGGCAGAGAGATAATAGTTCAATTTGCCCAGGACGGACCGAATGTTGATCGAATGTGAGTCTCTTTTGTGCTTAATTTCTACTTAATTTCTGTATGTAATGTATCCCCTTTTCTTATCTTCAACTCCATGGGTCTGAGTTTTATGCAAAAATGTGTGTTCAACAGTGTAACTTTGTTATCAGTGTGACAGTTGAACTACTATATGCCTTGATTTGGGTGTTTTTATAAACATTTCTACTCTGAAAAGTTTGCTACATTTCCTGAATTCTTCCACCTCTAATAACTCTGCTCTTTTATGTTCCTAAGCGGTATTTCCATTACATAGATTTTGAGAAGTATATCTCTTTTTGATTATAAGATTTAGCTGGTTATCTACTCTGAGTTGGAGATGTTTGATCAAGTTACTTGGTTTTGATTTACAGTCACAAAGGGAGGGTACTCGAACCAGTATCAAGGTCACAAGGCAGATCAAGAAGGCGTAGTCCCTGGCCGAGGTGAAATTCTTCCAAGAGTAACTTCTGGTTAAGTTTATAATCAATATGCTCTAATACTAGTTGCTAGATTTATATAGAAGACCGTCACCTGAGGCTCTGATAAGTTCAGTTCACATGTCCAGTTAGACCCAGAGAGAGTGAATAAGTCTTATAGATTTTTAATTTGTGACTAACTAACTTTTTTGAATTATTGTCGATCCTTGTTTAAATTTCTGTTAATTAATTGATTATGTGGCTCAATTGCAATCTTACAAACATATAAAGCAATAAATAAAATAAAGCAGAGGCTTAATTTTTCTTTTTTGTAGAAAACCCTAAATAAAAAAATAAAAAAAATGCAAAACTAGTCCAGGAATTTCAAAATTCACTATATGAAAAAGAGGTTACAGATTAAGTTACTAGACTTTAACCTTAGAATCACCCAGTCTCTCCCCTCTTAGACTTACTTACACAAGATCCCCCCTGATCTTCGAACCGCTGATCAATTGACATGCTCGTTCCTCACACAATCTGCTACCCCATGGACTTCTAATCTCCATGACAAGAGATGTTTGATCAACTTGTTCTTTGTGAACTAATTGATTGATGCTCTAATGAATTATTTCAATTATGCTCCTTGTTTTGATTCTCCTACATATAGTATGGTAATGTATCAAGAACCCTAGATTGATGTTCAACGCTCTCTCTCTAAAAATATGAATTCTTTCACAATATGTACAGAGGTGAAAACTCCCATAAGAAAATACCTAACTGATTATAACCCCATATTGATAGCCAATATTGGAGACCCAAGTATTATTGTAACTAAAATCCTTTTAGGATTCTGATTTAAGAGTGTTTCCATGAAAGTGTGTCTATACGGGTCAATCAATTGAGCTTTTTGATCAACACTCAGTGCCATAGCCTCGATTTATGGAGGCATTCTGGAGTTCTAAACAAATTTCAGCAAAAATGTCAATCAATCGACTAGTCAATCGAGGTTAATGGGGGTTTTATGAAAATCCTTTTTTTTGAAAAATATGTTTATCAAAATCAGAAGAACTTTAAAATCATTTTAGAAAGTTTGGAATTGTAGTTTTCAATATGCAACAGAAATGTAAGATAATTTTCGAAAAAAAACTGAAATGTAATATCTGGAAAACTGTGCCCTTTAGCCACATGACACTTATGTGGTGTGCTTATTTATTTAATTTTTGATTTTCTATCAGGGTAGAAAATGTATAGGCATGTCAGGCGTCTTTTAATTTGTCAATTATAAAGAAACCATCTGGATTCTGTTTTGTTTTTGTTTTGTCGTAGAAAATTAACATATTTTTGGAATACTTTCTTGTTTTATTATTAACTGAAAATGGTCTACAGGTTTGGTAGTAAACTAGATTTTTTTTTTTCCGTTACATTTTTCAAATCTTATATACTTTGGGTTTTTTAAGATGTTGATTTATTATTAACTCTAAACAATTTTCAATAAATGATTCAGGAGTTCACTTTTTTATTTTATGTTGTTATATATATTTGTTGCCTTTTGCTTTGAATATAATTTCAGGTCTAGGGGTGAATTAAGGGACAGGGATTATAAGAGGAGAAGTTGTAGCAGAAGTAGGGATAGAAATGACTGTGAAAGGCACAGGGGAAAGGAAAGAGATTATCGTTATCATAGCAGGAGCCGTAGTGGAAGCCCTGTTTTATCACAAAAACCGTGGGAGAGGCAGATATGATGAGATGAGAGACGTAGCCAGAGTTGGCCTTATGGAAGGTATTTTGTCTTTCTTTCTCTCCAAATATTTTCTGCGTTGAACTGTGTTCCTTTATATTCTGTTATCAAATTCCCATATGTACATATGTTGTAGTGCCTCCCCTGCCCGGCGTAGAGAAGATACAAGGCTCCCTCCTTTCTTTAGGCTATTCCTCATACCTTAAAACGAAATAGGAAGATTGAGCAATTGAAAGCTTATATTAAAGAAGCTTAGCAATGCTGTACTCAAAGAGAGTTAGCTGACGCCTAACGGAAGCTCTGAACTGTCACCTCATCCTTCTTTGCCTATTTGCCCGAGCTTTAGAACCCCTAGTCCAATGTTTTCCTTCTCGTTTGCCTCTGACCTTTACCAAGGATGAATACCTACATGACACGGATGTGATGAAGGCACACAACCAATAGACAAGGGTGGCCGGGGAACAGTAGGAAACAGAAGGTTAGCTTCCACTCCGAAGAGGAGATTCAGTTGTTGTTCCAGTTGGGCTTAGTCTCTCTTGGAAAGCCTTCTATCCGTACTGATGTACATAAAAAAGGGTCAGCATCACGCTCTTTGAGACCTCAACTGAAGAAACTGAAGCAGTTAGAAGAAGTGCTAAAGGTTGGGCAAACAGGCATAGTGCCTCTGGCCGAGAACCTAACAAGGGCATTAAAAGTCAATAACATGGGCAACGAAATGAAAGAAAAGCAAGCGGAAAGAATAGAACAGGATGAATCAGAGAAAGAGCGCTGACAGGAGGACTGAAAGGACGAAGAATACATAGCTGTATAGGGGTGAGGAAGAGGAAGGTTAAAGCTTCCTAGTGAAGTGAAGGACATTGAGGTGTTGAACGGAAATAGAGTCTCATCAAAGACCACATGACAAGAGAGGTGTTTCAAGGGCAGCTTGAAGCAGCTACTTGGGGGAGGTCAATATCTTAAACAAATCAAACTGCCCTTCTTGATAAGGGAGTCCACCCAACAACTCTTAAGGCTGAAGTTGAAGTCAAATAGAGAGTAGAAGGCAAGAAAGAATCGAGAGCTGTCTTCATCAAGTTCAAGAAGAGAATTACTGCGTCAATAGAAAGAGGCACTTTCCTTTCTTATTGATACGCTTGTGCTTGTGCCTTAATTGCGCTTTCCATTCTTCCACTTAAACTAGCCGTCTATGGTGCAAGCTATGGAAAGAAAGGTTAGGTACGGGAGGCTTTGGCTTCATAAGTCAAGAAATGTTCAGGCTTTGTTCAATTTCGGGTCTGAAGTTGCCTGAATAAGTAAAGGAATGGAACTAGGGTTGGCTTTCTCACTTTTGGAGTTGGCTTCTAACAGTGAAACCTCGAGGCCTATGCTCAATTAATGAAGTCGGATTTGTAACGACCCAAAAAGATACCGGTCGACGGTACCAAAAATAAATAAATAAATAAAAAAATTCAGCATGACTTCTGCAGAAAAAGTCTTACTACGACCTGCTGAAATACATATAAAATGTAATGGCCTCACTTGGCCTTAAAACTAATCTATCCTGTCCTAACGCACAATGCAAAAAAATATACAACATTCCTAAAATCAACAACACACACACACACACACACACACACACATATATATAAAGTCCCGTTCCTCCAATTCATTAAAAACATGGAAATACCAGTCCACTACCTAGTCCCATAATCCTTTACAAGGAATGCACTTTAATTACATCAAGTTACAGTCCATGAAATACAACTAAAATCAAAAGTCCATTTACAACATTATACAAATTATACTAAAGTTTTACAAAATAGTCAAGATTATATTTACAAAGATCTCCAATCCCGTCTAAACTTGTGGTGGATCGTCGTCCGCCACATCTTTCCCGTGTCCTGAAAATATTAAAGTAATGGGGTGAGCCAACCGCTCAGTAAGAAGTGTCTAAGACACACCTCTTACGACCCCGTGATCCCACATAAGGAATAAAATACAAGTGAACGGGATCATGCCTCGGGAAGCAAGTAAATAATAACATCAACAAAACACTTGTACAAGTCATCCAACTAACAAGTGTGCAATATATGTTAATGAAATGCCATGCATTGCAATGTCGCTCCCCATTTTCGAAACAATACCGTTTCACCTTTCCAAACCGTTAGTGCAATCCGACCCAAGGCGACTCCAAGGCATTACGAGAGGAAGATTGTGTAATGTTTATCAACATATATATATATATATATATATACATATATATATATATATGTATAATTATTAAACATTACTTTTCCACTGTGGGACCCACCTGTGATATAAGGGTCATTACAAACCCATTTTATTTTCACTCAGCTCTCTCTAGGCCAGTTTGTTTCTCTCTCTCTCGCTGCCTCTGTATTTTCCTTTTCTTTTTTTTCTTTTGCAAATTCAATCCTTGATTTTTTACTCATCTCTTGGAAATTTTGGATGCCGTTTGAGGCAAATTGAAGCCCACAACGAGGTCTTCAAATCCATACCAGCAATTTCAGCTTTTGGCCATTCTAGGGAGTCCGAAAATTGAGACCCATTTTGAGGGTTTGAGGTGGAAATTGGGGTTTTTGGCTTAGATTGAGGTGGGGGTCTCTAACCCACATTTTCTTGTTCCCTTGTAAGTTAATTTTATGTAATTTTTGTTAATTAGTCTAATTGATGATAATTATCTTAGAATGTTTGTGTTGTAATGTATATAGTTCATGAAGTCCATATATATATATGCTGATTTGTGTTAAAAGCATACTTAAATGTTGATTTTCCATGTTTATCGTGAAGTTCATGAATTCCATATATATATATATGCTGATTTGTGTTACAAGCATACATAAATGTTGATTTTTATATGCGATTGTATGAAAGCATGTTGTAGTTTTATTTGAAAATTCTTGTGAATCATGCTATATTAATTAAGTTTGAGTCAGTTATGGAATGATGAATTTGGACATGGCATGATGCATCCATGCACTAGCATTGGGCATGAAATGGGATTAACGTGATTTGAAATGAAAAAATGGAATTTTGGGAAGAAGTTTTGATTAAAATGGTTTTGAGAAAACCCGGTCGCCGCGGGGTTACCAAAGGGCCGGTGTGTTAATATAGCCTAGATGGAACTAGGGAGATTGCCCTAGCGTGGTTGAGCTAGCTGGGCCCAAAATGACGCCGCGGGGGTACCAAGGGTCAGGGACACTAGCCAATCCTTCTCTCGTGTCGCTGCGGGTTACCAAAAGGTGGGTTATATTAACAGTTTGAACGTGACGGATTTGAATGTTGAAAATGGGGAGTAACATCGGCATGCATTGCATTTCATAGCATCATATTGTGTATGCTGAGATTGGATTTAACGTTGTACTTTCCCGACATAGTATGACCCCGATTCCTATTGTCCTATTCCTTGTTTGGATTCACGGGGACACAAGAGGTGTGTCTTAGGCACTACCTACTGAGCAATTTTGCTCACCCATTTTATTTAACATTTTTTTTCAGGAAACGGGAAAGAAGTGACGGATGACAATCCCCCGTAAGCTTGAAGAATATTAGGAGTTGTATTTTGTTATCTTTTGTATCTTAGCCTATTTTTTTGGTATAGTCTCAAACTATGTAAAAGAGTATTTATTTTTGCAAATCATGGCCCTGTAACATAATTAAGATCCTTGATTATTTTTGTTGTAAACTGAGACTATGTAAATGCTTAAGTTGAATGGGATGACGATGATGAGCTAACTTGGGGAGGTTGTTGATGTTGTGGTATTGGGAAATGTATTATATTTATTTTGTATTGTGTGTTGGGGCAGGTTGGATAGGTCTTGAAAGGCTGTTGCATTTTTTTCATTTGAACAGGTTGTTGTAGGACTACTTTTAGCGGAGGTCATATCAAAATTCTTTTTTTTTTTTTAAATAGTTTCAGTTTTGGGGTCGTTACAGATTGGCTAACTATCCACGACCACAAGGCAACTCCAAGGTGTCGTATCTGGCCTAGGTAGCTCAACCACGCTAGGGTCTTTCCCTAGTCCCCTTTAGACCACACTAACACCACGTACCACTAGGCGACTCTGAGGCGTCCGGTTTTCGCAAACTCTTTTCGAAAACATTTTCCCAAAACAATTTCATTTGTTTTAAAAACACTTTTTCCCTTTTTCCTTCCCAATGAAATGCATGAATGCTTCATGCTTCTCAAATGGCTATAATCCCATACAATTTAACCTTAACAATATTTCATACCAATTAAGGAAAATTCTCACAATTTATAGCATACTTATTATTCACGAATTTTCAGCAACTAAGTATTTAAAACAAGAACTCAATCACTTAGGCATGCTTCTCACATCAAGTCAACGACTAATATGCACACATATCACTTAAACACGAAACTCACATGGAGGTAAAATGTGACGTTTCCGATTTTCACCATTTTAATTTTTCCGGAATTTTGTCACCGCAAGGGCATTTTCGTCTTTTCACGTTATGTGTACGGGATTGTGGTTAGGTCCATTTGCATTGTGTACATTTTAAATTATGTGGATTGAGTAGTTTTTTGCATGTGGTGCACTCGTGTGTGTATGTGGTGTAAAATTGAAGCAAAAAGAAAAAGGAAAAAGAAAAGAAATAGTGGCGGGACCCACCACCATCCCAAATTTGAGTTAGAGACCATATTTTTGGTCTCTTACTTCTCTCTTTCCTGTGCGTCTCTCTCTCTCCATCTTGCTCCTTGTTTTTCTTTTTCATTTTGGTTTCCAATCTTAGAAACAAGATAACTCACTCAATACTTGGAGAAATTGAGAGCTGTTTGAGGCAAAACGAAGAGCACGAAGAGCTCTACGCATTCATACGAGCAATTTCAGATTTGGTGCCCTCCTTGATTTTCGAATTCCTTGACCCATTTCAAGGGTTTTGTGTCAATTTGAGGTAGGGGCTCTTAATCCACGAAGTTCTTGCGCTTTAGTGAATTAATCTACTTGAATTGTGCCTTAGCATGCTTAATTGCTTTGATTTTAGTTTAACATTACTCAATTGAGAATATGTGAATTTGA